GTACGGACCAGTACGTATCAGTACGGATTAATACGGACTAGTAGGGATACGCTACGGTTGATTTTTCCGTAGCAAATTTTTGTGCATGTTCAAAAATTGTCAAGGATCGCTACGGATATACAAGGACTACTACGATTGATTACGGTTACAATACGGAGAGCTACTGACCAGTACGGGTAGCTACGGACGATGCCGGAATTAATCCGTGGCTCTTCCGTGGGCGTATTCCGTGAATATGTGACCGGGGTATTACAGCTTAACTCCTTTTAAATTTAAAAAGGAGTTAGTTCGTTACTGCACTAAGGTGATGGTATGCGTAATAAAAGCTAATTAAATCATTAAAAAATTGAATAGAAAGGAAATATATGAAAGAGTTATACTTTTTAGATAGGTTAAAAAATGGTACAAATCGAAACACATTTTTTAGTATTTTTTTTTTTCAAAAGTTTGAGTGCCGCTGAAGCCGATTGAAGGGACGTGGGAGATGTTGCACTTTACATTAACTAAAAAAAACCGTGTCCATATTGTTGCTGTTGTTGTTGTTTTTGAGAGATTTCAACTTCCTCTAGAAGTGTACTCTTCAAAAAGGAGTCGTTTCTTTTTCTAGAAACCACGTGACTCGGTAATATTTTAGAGTGGATTTCGTCCGTCACTTTATAAGTAATATTTCCCCTATATTACCTATATAGAAACATCATGTTAACATCATGTAACGAACAATTAAGGAAACATAAACTATCTTGTTATTGAAATATGAGCATATATTATACCAGACTTGTAAAATATTTCTCCTAATCTAAACAAAATCTCAACACGGATTGATAAATTAATCAAATATTTTCTATTTACACTGCAAACATATATTTTAAGAAAAGAATTACGCGATCCGAGATAAATATCATGTTTGAAAGCATTGCAATATCTCTTTTTACAAAATAAATAAATTGATATCAGATTTTTAAATGAATTTTACATTAATTTCAAAAGGAGAAATACGATGTTTTTATGCGATATTTCGGAGATAGAAACTCAAGTTTGGAATGTTATGTTGATTTTGATCAAATGTTATTGTTACCTTTCAATAACAGTACATTAAAGCGGTCCTATATATTTTTTTCGGGGTGAATCAAGTCACGTGATCATGTACTAGTATTTGAAGTCTATACTGTCATACATTCTTTGATCGTTCTGGAAACGGGGATCCGTCGAAGGCAATGAAAAATAAACAAATTGTTGAAAAATTGTATATTTAGTTTTAATTAAAGGCACATTATTCCTCAGGAAGAAAATCATAAATTTTTACTTCTTCAGAAAGGGCATACATTTAATAATGCTTAAATAATGGTTTAAGAGAATATTAGATACTTGTTACCTGAAGGAAAATAGCGATAAATGTGAAATAATTTGTCATAAAAGTAGCAAAATATATACAAAGTAGTATTTTGACTTCCATATAAAATACTTATTCTCTATAACTGTCCTTATTGCGTAAAATCAACAGATGAAAATGATGCTTCAGGTAATTACCAATGGGTATTTTTTTGAATACCATAAAAGTAAACCCTATTTAAAAAGCTTTTGAGAAATAAAAATAAAAGCTTTTCTAGGGCATAAAGGGCCTTTAGATATGTTCATAATAGGTAATGCATAGATATCACATCTCATAGAGACAAAATGATGTCAACTGAGACGTTACCCGACGTAGGCGTTATCTTGTCGTGGAAAGACATTTTATTCTGTCACCCTGAGTGGGATGCAAAATTTATTTTTTAATTCAAATATATCAAAATTCAAATTTTAATAACTAAAACATTGTAATTAATCTTTTAAGTCTGGTACCCGGTACGCGCATGAGGGCCGTGTTGTAACGTATTCATGTGATATCACGGTTGTTACCGTCTGACGTCACAAGGCTAAATAGTAAATAAATCACGTGGGTATAATAACAGAGAGTGCAGCATCTCCCGCCCCCTCTAGCAAAGACCTATATGGCATTCGATCCTAAACTCTAAAAGTATTTGAATCAATGATCCTAAAGGACCAAAAACAAAACAAAGAAAAATAATGTTTTAGGGCATAATGGGCCTTTAACGCTTGCTGACGAGATATTTGAAATTTGAAATTTCTGGAACGAGGACTAAATAGTAAATAAATCACGTGGGTATAATAACAGAGAGTGCAGCATCTCCCGCCCCCTCTAGCAAAGACCTATATGGCATTCGATCCTAAACTCTAAAAGAATTTGAATCAATGATCCTAAAGGACCAAAAACAAAACAAAGAAAAATAATGTTTTAGGGCATAATGGGCCTTTAACGCTTGCTGACGAGATATTTGAAATTTGAAATTTCTGGAACGAGGAGGTCCCACCAGAGAAATAGTCATACAAACAAATAAAACAAAAATAAAATAAAAAAAATAACGACGAAAAAAAAACAATACCAAACAACAACAAAAATTGAAAATCGTTATTAATATTTTTTACAATTAAATTTACTGATTTCTTTTACAATTATACATATGATTGATACAAGGATGGTTAAATTGTCCGAAGCTTCTGGGCTCTTTCCATGAATAATCATTAGAAAGAAAAAACAGCGTATAATGAATTAATGTGTTATTAACCAGCACTGCCTTTCCGTTTTGTTAACTTGTTAACCCAGGTATTTTTTGTGTAATTCTCTGCAAATGTAAATATAAAATAGAGCCCAAAAATTTCGGTAAATGAATAAAGCACACTACACACCTCTTAGATACAGTATTAAGCGGGCTAAATATACAAAAATGTAAAGTTATCAAATAGTCAATAATCAAGGGTATAAGTAGAAATGAAATTATTGATATAATTATCGTAAAGTATGTATTAAATTGTCTGTAATATCATAACATTTTCCTGTATCTATGGATCGGATCACCGCTTTTAAAATCACCTGCCTTCCTGATATATTAAGATTAAATCTCAAATTGAAATTTCTAGTTTTCTCAGTTTTCGATTAGAAACAATTAATCATTTTCAGCGCAAGAAGAAATTTATTTTCATGAATATAATGTCAGTTGTTTTTTCCTGAAGTCGAATTTGTTTCATTTAAGTTTAGATGAATTTATTTTGGATAGCAGAGAGACGTAAATGGTTTTTAATCTTGGTAAGTACTTGTTAAAACATTATTTTATCTTTAAAGCTGTCCGTGTTTAAAGCAGCAAGGCTCCTCCAGATTCAGGCTAATTATTTTACGGCATATACGAAGAGACTAGCCATGTTAAGGAACACTAAACGTTTGTGGGTTCGAACACTACTAGGGGCATGGCCATGTTTCCTCATCTTATCTCAGATAGTATTTAGTTGTATAAAATAAACTAAAAGTGTATCAAATAAACATCAAGATTTTTGTTTACATGTATTATCGAGTTATGATAAATGTATATAATTATATAATTAAAATTGATATACCATACTAAGTTAGAGAATGACCATTGAATAGCAACTGATATATTTTCTGCTTGGTGATTTTAAAACAAAGTAATTTTATAACGGGTTTTTGATATTAATAAAATGTTTAAATTTTTACAAGTATAAATCAACACGTTATATCTTTTAGCCAGGTTTCATTGTACGTAATATCTTAAAATAACTGTAGTACACATTTCACATCGTAATAAACAGCTGCGGTCGTATTGTACAGCTATGGTCGAAAAATACAGCTCGTGTTGTAGTACATGCAACTCCGGTCATATTATACATTTCCGGTCGTAGTAAACAGCTCTGGTCGTAGTATACATTTCCGGTCGTAGTAAACAGCTCCGGTCGTAGTATACAGCTCCGGTCGTAGTATACAGCTCCGGTCGTTGTATACAGCTCCGGTCGTAGTATACAGCTCCGGTCGAAGTAAACAACCCCGGTCGTAGTATACAATTCTGGTCGTAGTATACAGATCTGGTCGTAGAATACAATTCTGGTCGTAGTAAACAGCTCCGGTCCGTAGTATACAGCTCCGGTCGTAGTATACAGCTCCGGTCGTAGTAAACAACCCCGGTCGTAGTATACAATTCTGGTCGTAGTATACAGCTCTGGTCGTAGAATACAATTCTTGTCTTAGTATACATCTCTGGTCTAATTTCAAAGCTCCTGTCGTATTATTCAACCCCAGTCGTAGTTCACAGCTCTCGTCGTAGTAATAATACAGCTCTTGTTGTAGTTCACAGCTCCCGTCGTTGTATACAGCTCTTGTCGTAGTATACTGTACAGCTCTTGTCGTAGTATATATCCCTGATCGTTGTATACAGCTCTGGTCATAGTATACAGCCCTCGTCGTAGTACACAACTTACGTAATATACAGCCCCTGTAATGTAAAGCTCTCCAGAGAGCTTCAATCGTTGACACCTAATGATCATATGAGCCACGCCATGACAAAACCAACATAATGGGTGTGCGCAGGCTGGTCTGGATCCATGCTGGTCGCACACCCATTATGTTGGTTTTGTCATGGCGCGGCTCATTATTATAATGGACTAAGCTCCCACCTACAAGTATATGGACGTCCAGATTGCCCACTACGACGTATATGTATTTCTTTTAAGTCACCGTTTTCAGTTTACGCGATTGACAGCTACACCTATTTTTGATGCAACATCATAACAGGACCGTCTCAGCTTGTGGTTTGGCAAATGGGCATGGGCTTGAACCAAGGTTTCAAAGATTGTTTTTCTTTATTATAAATAATCTCTGCGTGAGAAAAGTCGTCTTAGTACAAACTATTTTTAGCAACAAAAAAAGCCATATATATTTTTTATACAGATAAACTCACATGTAACATTTAGCCTTCTGGTTATTTGTATAATTTTTCATTCTTTCACCGATTGATTTCATGATTATTTACCCAGAAATCCACCCTGATAACCATGCTCGTATATTTCGATATTTGTTCAAGTGCTCGGCAAACTTTTGGCCTTTTATACGGAAGCTATTTGATCTAGCCCAAATCAGATGTTTGTTGGCGGTGCGTTATCAACCGGGGTAGATGATAAATGAGTCTTAATCAAATAATGTTTACCTTCATATGTTTTAACGTTCGTTCAAAACCGTGCTGAAGTTTCGCTATATTCTGATTCAATGGACCTCCTCAAGCAGTTCGATACGCTTCGGAATTGTGTGACACTAAACGAAATAATTAGAACCATTTCAATGTAGGACTTTGTTAAAGGTAAAAGTTTTAATTTACATTTGAAAAAAAAACTGTTAATGTCATTATATTTGTTTCTATCCGAAATACATTTTATCTGTTTTATTAACGTTTTACTTTGAATTGTTATTTTGTTTTATATATTTTTACTTATGTTTTAGTGTAATAGAGATGTCTTGTTTTTACCTTTTTTAATGAAGTAAGACATTCGTAAGCAACATTCGTTAAGTAAAAAGATCAAAGAACAAGGTACCATTTAAAATTAGCAACAGTTTATATTTCAGCATTCTTAAATTGTGTATATTTAAATAGGGGGCACAATTTAAGTAATGAGCATCGATTATTTGAAACACGTGATAATTATATTGGTAATTTATGACATTATCCAATTCCTTAAACAATTAGACGATCGATTTCTAGTCGTATTCTAGTATTCTAGAGACGTTATTATCTCCCTTTAAGATGAAAGTTCTAAGAAAACTGCCGGCAACATATTAAAAAAATGATTGTATTTTGTAAGCACATGAATGGAACAGTTTGGCAAAACAAGCCAGTAAAACAGTTTAAATAATTATTTACAGAATTAATTGTCCATAATAAAGTTGGTTTTCTTTATATTTATTAACAATTCTACGCAACTTATGCAGAATACGGTGGTTAGAAACGGAGCCGTCCGATTAGCTCAATAGATAGAGCGCTGGACTGTGAATCGGGCGACCCGGGGGTTAAATTCCCGGACGGTGCAGATCACTTTCATTTGCACTGTACCTCTACTCTAGTATGTACTGAAGTGTTTCAGTTCCTTGCGAAAGTGAGACAGCTAACTAGTACTGGTAAACTGTTTGACAGCCTGCCCAGGAACGATGCGGTGGCTGAACTTCCGTGTACCAGAGTGAAAACTAACAACAACACTACCACTACTCTGTTAATTTAAACATATGTTCCCTTAAAAGCCTTTAAGTTCAAATATCATTTAAGTTGATATGTGGTTTATAGACCGGGTTAGAAAATTTACTTTAAAATGACCACCTTCACGGTAAAATATTAATAATTGTGAAAGTTTTGAACAAAAGTCCGTTATTTAACAGAACAGAAACTTTATTTCACTATTGGTGCATTTAAATTAAAATATCAACATTTAAAACTCATAGTACATTGTGTCAATGTATTTTGTTTTGTATAAGAGTGGGTGGGGGAACGGTTTTTGATTTTTATTTATTACATAATGTTAAAATCACGTGACATTAATGTTATGAAGTGACGAAATAACAGAAAGAGTACGCATCTTAAAATTGATCTTATTCAAATGACTTATCTTGTTTATTAGTAAAATCACAACAACAACAACAACAACAACAAAACTAGTAAAAACAGAAACTGAAGTAAATAATAATGATAATAAATGATAATAATAATAATAATAATAATAATAATAATAATAATAATAATAATAATTTAAAAAATCGAGTATTGCAAAAAACAAAAAATAAAATTGCGATATTTTACCCTACATAAATGCACTAGGTTCGTAATATAGGCGTAAGGCCATTATTTTATGGTTGAAATTCAATCTGTAACGGTTATCAGAAAATTGGATTAGTTCCATGTATGTCACACGCGCGCGTTGTTTTTAAGACGTATGCACTTATAGATTTTTGTCGTCTGCTATATTAAGCGAAATTTATTCTCGCGCTTCTGAAAATAGCTCCATCGCTTATGCGACCATGAGACTTGTAATCTCGACATTTCGGGTTCGATTCCGGACTGGTTAACTAAAATTACCAAAACAGTCTTTCGAATTAGACTTAAAATCGAGGTCCCGTGTATGATAACTTAAATAATTGGCACGCCAAAATGATTGACCGATGGCGAGTATATAAAAAAACTGAAACATTTTTTGACAAATCTATCAATTTCAGACAAGCAAACCTTTAAACTATTTGCTTTAATAGACGACAACGATATTGCCAACGAGTCAATCGGGAATTTATTTTAAAAGTATCGATTTAGTATGACTCACATTTCGGGACTTTCCCGTTTATTGATTTAACGCGATTGAAGTGTTAGTCTAACCTTTTATTAAAATATTAATATTTTAATTTAATCCACGATTAACCATATATATATAGGATTACTGAAATTGTGTCAAAAAAGATTTTCAGTTTGTTATGCACTTTAAGAATATTATATTTACCGTTATTAAAAAATGAAGTAGCGTTTATAAAAAATTTCCGATTACACAAAGTTGACCAGTTGAGTGACACGACAAAAATATTTGCCTGTTCCTTAATAATGCAGTTGGGGATTTTAGGTTGATGGAGGGGCGGTTGGGGTGTGTGTGATTGTGGGGGGGGGGGGGGGGGGGATGATACATTATCTTCCTTAAGTTTTCACTCATTCTCAACTAAAATATTCTTGTATGTCTATATCCATATATATAAAAAATGCATGTTTGAATTACTAATGACATTTTGATATCAATTAAAGTCAGGTTTAGAAGTTCGAATAAACGAATAAATGAATAAATGTTAGATAAGATAAAAAAATTACTTTAATTTCAGCATATAATTGAGAAATTAAGCGGGGTGTTTTATCTGTAAAAGCACACCGGAGAATTTAAGACACCCTGACAGATAATTAATTAAGTATCGTTATTTTTCCTCATTTTTTTAGATGACATGGCATGATAATTTATTTATTTTTTAGATGACACGGGTGGATTATATGGCATAATAAGGATATCAGATACATTGATTTTGAAATCTTTGTGTTGTTGGAAGGTGTATGAATGTCTATAGTCTCTACAAAACATTGAAAACCGACACTTTTTGATTCGATCATAATTACAAGTAGATAGAGATAGGCTTTATAATTCGGGGTTGTCTTAATTTCAATAAAGTATCTTAAACGAATTTTAATTACATACAGCGAGCGTACATTTTCTTTCTGAGTAGGATTTTTTTTCTTTTTTTTCTATAAATTGTTTAAGATCAAGTGCAAGGTCAGAAAAATTATGAAACCTTGGGAATGAAAAGGTTGCACATATAGAAAAAAATATATATAAAGAGATTCGTACCATAATTGCCTGTGACTGAAGGGTAATTTTAATGTCATAAAAACATAAATTTATTTTTGTTATAAAGTAGACCGAATACTGGAAGACCTCGCTGATAACTTTAACTAAATTTGTATCTAATTTATATGGCTATATTATAATGGTCTGATTTTTTATATTGTGAAATTGTGACGAATCAAGTGAACTTGTGAGAGTTTTTATTTCGTTAAAACTTTGTGGGAACTTATATTATAACACACCTGTTGTTGTTTTTTGTTGTTGTTTCATGTTGTTATTGTGGTGTTTTGGTGTGTCTTTGGTAAACACAGTGTTACACAGTTTAGAATCTTAATAGATTCTGGTAAAAAAAGAGGAAATTATTTGTTGAAGGTATGTAAATCTTTATTCGGGAAGAAAGTATTTTTTGTTTCCTAGAAGACACAATCTGTCTCTTAAAGTGTCTGTGAGATAATATTTGACAAGTTTTAGAATCTATAATAATTTTAATGGGCAATTTATTATAAAAGTGTATATAAAGAGTCTTTCTTTTTATTATATATTTGAATAGAATTTATGCTTCTTTGCAAACAGATAAAAGCGTTATATTTTTGTTTTGGAACAAAAATGCAGTATTACGTTTAGCTCAAAAAGCTTCTAAAAGAACACTGGGGTATAATTAGATTAGACTTTAATCTCAAATGTTATCCTTACAAAAATCCAAAGATCAGAATTTCATCGGAAATCTTTTCTATATGTACATAGTATTTAAAAACGTGTTTGAAGGGAGGGGTGGGTTGGGTGGGGTTGTAGGCTACAGAAACTTATTACTGGACCCAGCGGGGCAGAAGGAAGAGCGTCTGATATAATTTTAATGAAAGAACATCGATATTTCAGGTGTTTTGGTTTTATGTTCTGATTAACTCTTATCAAGCTTAAACAGTTTGTATTTTTGTAATGTAAAACTGTAAAAGTACGCTTAGACCGAGCAGGGGGGAAGAGAAAATATTATTATAACGAGTTTAAGGACATTGATACTTCAGTCCACGACTTCAGTGAATGTTGGTTATATAATTAAATAATATCTAATTCAAAATGTAAACAATCTTGACCACTTGAACAGTTTTTGTTTATACTGGAATATTTGTGGTCAACTACAATACTGACCTCGTCAGGTGAAAATGGGTGATATATATATTCTATTTATCTTGTAGCCATGGTTAATATATAACATATATTTGAAAGATGTGGTAAGGTAATGCTATTACGTCATTTCCGGCAACTCTGTCCGAAACATTATTTATTCAAATATATATCATAATAATATATTGATAGAACATTCTGTAATTAGAATATCATGACCAGTTGTTATATTTGTAAACATAATTAGATTACACAAACTTTTTACTTTCACTTTTGGTAAAAAGAACGAAACATTTTACTCTGCTAGTATACCATTCTTAAATTATTGGTTAAAGCACTTTCTGACACCATCGTACTTTAATTATGTTTGCTCTTTCTTTAAAAGAAGTAATTACTGTAAATTATCATTCATTTGTGTCTAGTACGAAGCAAGAATAGACAGTGACTAACTACATGACGTCGTGTCTATTGATGATTGTACCTGGTGTTTGAACAACCCAAATGCTATACTAGGTCAAAATATTAAATAAAACCAACTTTCCGGGTTTTGTTTGTAGTTTTCGCTTTCCGTAAAATATATCATTTCCGCATTTTATGGTTATCCGGAAACGTTCGTCAGGGTCAAGTATTCAGTTTGAAAATCATCCAATCAAATTATTTGAAAAATATATCAGGGAAAAGCAGATAGAGATAAATACCTGGTTGTAACAAGTTTAATATCTGAATAGATTTTTTTAGCAACTTACATGTGGTTAGCTCTATGACGAATTCTTTTCTTGCCACAACTACAATCCTAATAGATACTTATTAATAGATACTGTTTTTAAAGATCAAGAATAAAATTTTCAAATCGTCAAAGAAGTCTTGTAAAGAGTTTAAATTCGCTTCATTATGATGTCTTGATGATAAGATCTCGCATACAAAATTAATGTTGACTGGAGGGCTTGTCCCGCCAAATGATGATGTCTTGAGGGCTAGCCCCACCTTATCATGTTGTCTGGAGGGCTAGTCCCACCTTATTATGTTGTCTGGAGGGCTAGTCCCACTTTATTATGTTCTCTGGAGGGCTAGTCTCATCTTATGATATTGTTTTGGAGGGCTTGTCCCACCTAATTATGTTTTCTGGAGGGTTATTCCCACCTTATGATGTTATCTGGAGGGCTTGTCCCACCTTATGATGGTGCCTGGAATTTAAGTTTCACCTAAGTATGTTGACTAGGGAGCTATAACATTAAATTTTCGCGAGAATCGCTTTAGCAATTGCTTCAACGCGTATTTTATAACGGTAAAATTGGCGATAATGCAACACTTCTATAAAATATCACCTTTTAAGCATATGCAAACAGAAGGTTATTTTATACACGAAGGCCATCTGACGAGGACTTTATTTAGACTGTATCGGCCAATTTAAGATAAAACAAATTAATTACTTATTCTTATCGGGCGTATAAATACATGCATGAGAGTCAATCGGGTACAGGCCTAGATTTGAACCAGCTCTTCAATATATCAAGACGGAATGCTTCTGACCTGATGATAAAGTTGGAATGTAGTCGATATTTTTGTTTACAAAGTCTATTTATATTTGTTTTACAGGTTGAAATTAACAGTCAATAGAGAACCAATCATAGGTAAAAGATCGATGTTTCTGAAAGGCTTCCGAACAATCACTCGTTCATCTCATGGTAGTGACGTCATCCTAAAATATACACTCCGGTCTACAAAAGCAAGGAATATTATGTAAATATAAGATCTTTTAAAAGGATATAATTTAGACACAAAAGCGCAAAATTGGAGAATACAATACAAACAGAGCACTAAATACATCTTTATATGAAATATAATAGAGATCAAATAATCTATAGCGGCCTGTATAATCGGCATTATGAAAAGACCTTCGCGCATGCGCACGAGTGATAATCCAACTAATATGGATTCGTCTGCTTTCGAGGTTTATTCGGTGTCTTCAGACAGTATCGATAGCCCGTATGGTAAACGACTCACCAATAACGGACTAGTATCGCAGCGGTATAACAGGACGGTTAAATTTACTATACCGGCAAAGGATACACTCAAACTGAAGGATATACATAAATCAAAATTAGCTAATGGATTAAAAAGTAACATTACTGATTTCGATGAAAATGCAGCAGAAGGTCCACGGGATCTTTACGATCTCAGCCGGCGGAGAATGAGCGCACCAGAGCTGCCCCCAATAGCAAATACTGGAAAAACTTCAACCCTAGTTAGTAACGGACTAATTACACCGAGAAGTAACACATTTCATAATTTGACATTAAAAACTGGAAGAAAAAGTATCCATAGTGACTCATCCGTGAACGGGTACAAACTTAATTCTCAGAGTAGGACTTCGTCGTCATCTAGTCAGAAAAGTAAGGGAAGGGTCCTTTCAGCAGGGACGGACAGACGAACAAGCAAACAGGTTTTAACGGCAGATTTCACAAAAAATATACAGCAAGGTATGCTTTTTCAATCACTACATAAATAATGTCAATATTTGAACATAGCAACAAACTGCATAGTCTTAGCGAGAGCTTAAAGAGTGTGTGCTCATAGTCTACAAAAGCAAGAAATAAAATGATATAATGAACGAGGGTAATAGTTCTTTGTAGAGTATTGATGTATTTATTATTTTTTGTCCAACTGAAATTTAATATCATAATATGATTTGGGGCTGACAATGACCTTACAGTTAAATAGTTTTATAGTTTTGTTCATTTTTTATCTACGAAAACAAGAAAACAAGAATATTTTTTATCTAAGAAACAAGAATAGTTACCTATTTGGAAACAAAAACAACAAAAAATAGCAGCATGCATAGGGAATCGTTTTGTGCTTTGTGCTTTGTGTTTAATATTACCGCGACGTTTAAAGTTTAGCTAGCTTATTTTAACTTTATTTATAACTTTATTTCAAATCTTATATATATAATATACATAAAGTCTGTAAAGAGCGTTTTTTTGTTTTTTTTTGTTTTCGTTTTTCTTTTTAACTATATGACAATTTAAGTTTATTTCAAATTCAATTTTAATAAATTAATTTGTAAATGTCTGAAAGAAAAGGTTTCACGCATTTTGAATTTCTTTTAACATTAAAAACATATATCGGCCACAAACATAGTACGTTTGCGACCAGCATGGACCCAGACCAGCCTGCGCATCCGCACAGTCTCATCAGGATCCATGCTGTTCGATTACCAATTATATTACAAGAAGAGAAACTAATAACAAATAGCATGGGTCCTGATCAGACTGCGAGGATGCGCAAGCTGGTCTGGATCCATGCTGGTCGCAAACGCACTATGTTGGTTTTGTCGTGACGCGGCTCATATTTTTAATAGCAAACTACATTATCTGGAGAAAATTGTACATTTCGACTACTTTACCCCCCTGCAATGAGCAACCACTACAAAGAGTAAACCCTATCAGTCAACAGTGTTTGATGGTCGTCTGCTTCGAGTGATATGCGATAAAAGATATGAGAAACAAATAAATTCACGTTTAAGTATTTTAGATGGGGTTTTTCTCATACCGCACTTAGATTGTTAATGTGACGGGTAACAAGGGTCAGTGTATATTGCTCCATATATCACAGACGCTTGAAATTATTACATGTTTGAAAATGAATATAAAATTAATATGAAGTATTTAAATCATATACAGTATATCAGGATATATAAGGGATATGGCCTCTGCTCAAACATTTTCTTTTTTCATGAAATATTTTGAGTGCAAATAACTTCAGAAGTAGTGTAAGTTTACATAAACTCGAGCCATAAATAAGAGGTATTTTAAATATTACATTTTTACAAAATTCATTTTGATAGAATAACGGCGACTTAGATGTGTTATGTTAACGCCTTGTATATATTTGTCTCGAAAATTTCATTATCCCTAAAGTACACAAAGTTATGATGTATAATAAAGGGCCTTTAAATGAAATAATTATTTGTTTCCACCAAGCAGAACATCATATATTTAAAGCTGCCTTCAGCTTTTCTAAAGTTAGATATGATACTTTTAGATAAATAGTTTCATATAATTGTCAAATCAAAAGAATAAAGGTGGAAAATTATATTTACCGACCATTAAATACGTAAACAATAACATCTAAGCTACAGGTCGGCTCTCTGTATTTTCCCGATCTATTTTTAGTAACGAACGTCACTGACGCATTTTTAATAGCTTTTGGGACGCTGTTCACAGTAATATGATGCACATTTTCATGATAAAATTACTGAAATACTTAGTTTGAAACAGCACAGATTTGTTTTGCCAACAAAAAATAAAAGTTGAAGGCCACTTTAAAGGTGCATGCCTCCAGATAACCCAAAATATTTCAAGAAAATTAAACTTGGAAAAACCATGATAAAACTTTGAGAAATGTAAACAAATTAAAGATTTAAGTCATAATTTATATTTTCAGTGCAATTTAATTTTGTATTTTGTAATATTTATCACCATATATCTACTGTGTTACTAACGCAATTGGGGTTATGTATGCATATTTTGACCTCTTTTTGGTAATTTACGTGGACTTTTAAAAGTGCCGATTATGATGTGTCAAGTACTTTCTTTGTTCATTTCACAATATTTTACCTTTAAATACATTTTCAAAATTTTCATGAAAATTATGATAAATCTGGAAGCGTGCTGCTTTAATAACATAATTAACTGTACCGAAAAGAATGTAAATGGACCCTATTAAATCAAACTGCATTGGTCTTTGATTCGTATCAAATAGTTTATGTATACCTTTAATATCCGACCTCAATAATATTACATGGTTTATTTGTCCGAGTGGTCACTTTACCAATTTACCTCTGAAAGTGTTATTGTCTGACAAAAAAGGCCAAAGTGTCTGTAAATATTATTACCCTGTATATTTATTTAGATTTTGCGCCAATATTCTATAACAAATAAGAATGTAATGTAAATGTTTATCTACATATACGGGTGAAGCATAAAAGATTGTTACAAAAAACTACGTCATATATTAGGGACGTTATTGTGAAACTCGTCGTTTACAAGTCGCAGACGGCAATTACAATGACATCATAAATTTTAATTACGTCTATGTAATATATTATGCATTTTTTTTTTTGTATTTCTATATATAAATTGGTCTGCACTGTCTGACTGTTTGTCTGTAAACAAAACTAAAAAAAGTTCTATATATAGGTAAATCCTAAAAAAGAAATAAAACATGTGGACTGATATACGATTATGAATATCATTCTTTTTTAATTTCTGTCAATGGTGAATATAGAACGATGTAAAATGTATACGGCTTCTTTGTCGTCTGTGTGTATTTTTTTCTACCTTAATTAACTCTGAATTGATGACACAAAATGATATACACCTTTTGTACTTTTATATAATGGTAGATTTTAGGACACTTCTTGAAATTGTCAAAATACATGTTCTAAAGATAATCTACAAGCTAAACAAGTAATGAATGCAAAGAAAACAAATTATTACATCCCATCCACCAATCGGCATATTTCGTCACTTTAAGCGTCTGTGTGATCGGGAGAGATATGAGATCTTGTCACCTATAGGGGTAATTGAAAAATATATTGTACGGAAAGTGACGAATGTTGTCGAAGTTTCGCAAGGTTCAGAATTCCAAAATAACTCGAACAGTTAAATATACAATGACTTCAGGAGAATAAGTGTTCATTTAACACTTATTTATTAAAGTGGAAACAGTAGACCTATTCACTTATAGAAACTCATTAATATTTTAAACCATTTGACATGTTAAAGTGAGCGAAGTGACGGCTTTTAGAAATTAATGTTTATTATTTAATGTCTCAATTGTTTTCTCACTCCTGACATCGAACACTTTATCAAGTCATTCACCAAACAATTGTTAAAAATAAAAAGAAAAAAAAAGAGTTTTATATTTAGTTAAACCACGGATTTTAATTTTTGTTATAAAAGTCCAATGTGATATAAATTGAGTGTTTTCTGTTCGCTTACAAATCCCTATAACAAGTAGGGACAGCATGGATCCTGATTAGACTGCGCGGATGCGCAGGCTGGTCTGGATCCTGATTAGACTGCGCGGATGCGCAGGCTGGTCTGGATCCATGCTGGTCGCAAACCCATTATGTTGGTTTTTTTCGTGACGCGGCTCAATTAAAAATTAATCATGTACATTTACTTATGAAGTTATAAATGGATATAAACAGTTAAATATTTCAGCTGTGTAACTTGATTGTTGGCCATTATTCTTTAATGTGAAACAGTCTGTACGTTTGGCAATTATACATTTAAGTAAAACAGTCACGTGGTTTGCGAATGTTCGTATACATTTTCAGCATTAATAATATACCAATGTCAATGTCATTAATTGTTCTTATTTGTTAAACGGTGTCTTTTCAAAATCTTTTGAAATCACTAGGTCAAACGTGCTCGTCCGATTACTCGTACAACTAATTAGGCAAAAAAAACTTAACAAGCCGAAAATGTAAACTGTCTTCTCTTCTTTAAGTGTCATTTCGCGGAACAGTGAATCTTTTATAGATAAAAAAAGAAAAGTTTGATTACAATACCTATTTTTAGTGTTTTTTTGATGACTTGAACTTATATATTGTAAGATGACTTTAAAAAAATCACATAATTTTAAACGAACTTTGCTTGGACTCCAATAGTGAATAAAAAGAACTAATTAAAAGTTGGATTATAATCAAAAAGAAGGATTAAGTTATTTAAAGTGATTATCAATTATTTCAGGTATGTTTTAATATATATATATTATGTGTATCGCTCACACATTCACATTAACAAATGTAGTAAGTTTTTTTTTTAATTTATGTTAAAAGATGGTTTTAAATATAAACATTTCCTCCTTAACCATATTTGTATTTAAATAAGGATACATGTATATGATTCGTCATTTTAAGACTCCGAAAAATATATACATTGTACTTTTAAAATTGAATTGAAAAGCCGAATAAATCATAGTTTATTCTTCCTTGTTCTTTTCATAACAACTTTATTCGTTACTTTTACCAGCATAATTCATTAATAAGACTTTTGTTAAGACATATGTATGCTAATGGATCACTTTTAACATTTTATAGGTTAGCTTTAAGCTATATGGGTTAATACAGTATGAAATCAATGGGTTTTCGGTTTAGTGGCACGACCCATTTCCATGATAAGCTTAAATATTTTATGATTGTTCACTTGAAGGGATTGTTAAGTCTATAATCGCATTTGTTTCTACTGGTATAATATGTCTGTTATAAGTTTAACAATAGTTGCCAATTAGGGTTTAGCGATAATCAATATCCCGAGCAAGCCGTGCTTCTTTTTAAACGTACATGTACGAACAGTTTTAGAAATAAAAAAAAGAGTTTTTCATCGAAAGATAATTAAAGGCCGCAAATGCGCATTAAATATAAAACTGTTGTTGTTTTTATTTATTTAGTTTTTTAAATCATTATTCTTTCCTTAAACGTGTATGTACGAGTAATTTTTAGTCCATATCCTAATCATTAAAGAAAATCAAGTCTGATAAACAAAAACCCCTAAAAGCCGTATTTTTTACATAAACATTCTTCCATAGTTTCTGGTTTGTAAAGAATGATTATTTATGACTTTCATGAAGTATTAATATGATTTGACCAAAGACACGCACACGAATGTGCGCACGCACCAAACACACATACAGTCAAATGGTATTATAACAACATTTGATAGCAAGAAATTAACTGGACATATATATGTACACGTGCAATTGTTTGTTGTGACCACTATGAATTGTTAATGTGAACTTTTCAGTCGCATACTTTTTACATGCAAGCAAAACGTTGTTTTTATTTTTAGCATCACCGAATACTGATTTGATATATATTCACTTTATTTCTTCAGTGTCTGGCATAAAAGAAGACGGCGTTGCCATGAGAAACAGTGGCTCAAGTACAGCAGTCACTCAACGTTGCACCTCCGTGGGCGGAGGCCTAGCGCGCCAAAAATCGAAATACAGTCTTAAGGAGACTGTGTCAACACCGAGAACCATTCCGAAGAGCCGGAGTGAAGCGCAAATTGCGCCAAGACGACGTAGCATTGACGGTATCGTTGACTTGCCGAGAAATGGCTCCGACAAGAGTTTAACTGACAGCAGGAAAAATGCTAAAAATAGTCAAAACAATAAAACAACGTCGCAAAAGTTCAGACTAAACGGCATGCGTCACTATGCATCTTCTAACGTTTTAAATATAAGGGACGAGCGACGTAATGAAGATGACGAAACATTCGTAGATTCAGACAGTGATGGTGAAAAAGACCAACGCGTAATAGAATGGATTATTGGTGTCAGTGACGTGGCGGAGCCGCCCGAAGAACAACTCATTGAGCATACGGACGAGCCTCCGCAAAGGGATACAGCAATACGAATCGTGTACGATGGTGATTCATGACATTTAAGTGGTTCATAACTGTAGTGTTTAATTTATTACGTCGGACATGACGTCAGTCTACGTCACTAAAAATTTGGACAGGCGTCGATTCCTAACTACTGCACGTGATCATCTGTCGCATAGGGCAGTGATTTCAAACTGGTGTACGAGATGAAACTCGCTTGTGTTATAGGCAACCTTTTAATGTTTTGATTGAATATTTTCTATCCAGTACAAATGTTTAGAATTCTCCTTTTTTCCCAATACTCTTGGACACCACATCGATCTTGGGGCTAGTTTTAAAAATTGGCTTTAAGTGCCTTTAGAAATGTTTCATTAGACTTCAAAATATTTTTGAAATGACATGCTCGTTAATGATTGTCTTAGCAGCTGAACTCGAAAAGGGCCACATTTTAAGAATATACAATTCACATACTCTTACTTAATTCCTATTTATGATTCAGTAAAAATCAAAGATTTGATTTTAATCGATTAAGTTGTTAACAAAATAAAATATAAATTATGTAGAACAATGACAGTATCATATCTGCAAATTGAAGTTACGTGGTATCTATTTATTTCAGACATATCTATAATTATATGGCATTTAATAATGTAACATATCTGTATAATTCATAGACACTATTTCTAATTGATTGTCGTTTCGGGTATTACAGTCACATTTCGCCTTTTTTGTATGGACATATTTTACATACTTTTGATATGCTATAGATAGATTGTAAGAAATTTTAAGTGCCGTTAGATGAAAGGAAAGTGTGTCAATATATAAGGTCAGCCACATGACTCTTGGTCCGAACGTAAGTTCACAGTTGTCGGTCACTTCTATAAGGTTTGAACATATTTTTGTTGACATAAGGGCTCAGTATATTTGTTCTAGGCGATTCTCTCGCCAGAGGTTTCATTCATAAGTGATATGTTACCTATATACAATAGATACAAAATATTGACAGAATTACTGTTAAAATTTTAACATATTTTAGAGCATTGACTTTTATACCATTATGAAACATGGGGTGATTGTGGCGTGCCCCCACGAGGACAAAATTGAGATCAGATAGATATACGAAATGTTAAAAGAACGCTTCGTCATGGATAATACAATGTATTTAATTCGAAGTCGAATTTCTTTTTTTAAACGCAATACAAATTTTTATCCTTTCGGTACACATATGCCTTTGGTTACTCTTTAAAACTGCATGCTCTCAACGAAATTGTCTTACCTTTTAACATTATTCTTTTTCTTGCTTCGATGTAGAATTATTTAAACACAATATTTTTTTTCTTCTGAAAAACTTTAGTGATTACCTTATTCAAATAACTAATTTATCATTTGAGCTAGTGGATGAATGATTAATTAGTTAAGATTTTTTCTCTAAGTCTAAAAACTACATTTATTTGTTTAAACATTTTTTTTTTCACCTTTTTAGTGGATGATTAAAACGTTTAAATTTCAGTCTGCGTTAAATTTAGGACACGATTGTAAAGTCTTAATTTTATGCATTAAAAACTTCAATCATGACAGCTGTCTGGCAATTTGCTTTTGTTCTTAAATTACACATTGGCAAAACCGTCCTTGCCGCAAAAAATCTTTTTAAATTCATTTTTTAAAAGTGTCCAAATATTTGTCTATAGCTAAGGTCAATAGAGATAGGATTGACACAACGTAACACGGAGTATCGAATTTGAAAAAAGAATGCAATTGCGCGGAACAAACTTTCTTTTCAACTAACGGTAATTTTCGGCCTAATGAGGTATAAATTACCTGTATGTTCTATTTATAGCTCGACCTTTCGTAATAATTATTTAGACAAAAGGTAAAAGCACGGCAAGGACATACGAACTTTGGGGTAATCTGAGAAGTAAGGCACAAATACCGAGATAGAAGAGCGATGGTGATATCAAAATGTTTGGGTATAAAAAGGGCAAACTAACGTGCATTTTCGGTCACTTCCGATAGCAGTTTACCCTTTTATATTTTGTCTGTTATACTTTCCAGAAATTCTTCTTTCTTTCTGGAAAGAAGAAAAACTAAAGGAACCGTTGAGATACATTTAATAATTCCAACATTAAGAGCATTTGAACTCGTTGAAGTCGATAAATAAAGGAAATTTAGCTTATTAAACATTTATAAAATTTATCATTTGAAATCCATAAAGTCGACGAAGGGTTGCTTGTGACTTAAATAAAAACGTTACCACTGTTTAAAATTTTAAAACGTTTTTTATAAGAAATGGCATTTTTTGCATGTGTACGCTACGCATGCTTATGTATATATATGTATTTACGTTTGTATAACTGACTTGTTAAATGTTATTTATAATATACATGTATAGATGTAATATTTTGATGGAATACAGGTAGACAACTGGTAGAAGCTAATTTCCTTTTGTAGATTTAGACAAACGTATTTTAACTTCTTAATATCCCAGAGGACAGGAGAAAGTTTAACTTTGTTAACAAATATAATTTACCTATGTGTTCCTTAGTTATACCTGTTACATACAAGTTATGAATACTTAATTAATGGAAATCGTTTGGCAAAAATATTTAATATCATTTTTTTTCTTTTAACTTGGCAAACACGTTGACACTAATTTGAAACACACTTGAAATAATGATTTTATTGAATTTTTTTATTGAATAATGCACAATGGTCGAGTGATATTGAAAGAAAACAGTTTTTAGAATAAATTGGTTTTGAAATTTATATTTAGTTATAAAGTTAATCGGATCTCCTTGATTAAGTTCTATTTTGACGTTGACATTCTGTATTTTACATTACCGCACATCTCATTTTATCATAGGGTTTTCTTGCTTGTGATATAATTTTGTTCAAACAGCGGGTATGTTCTTATCAGGTGTCTACATAGCTATGTTATATAAGAAAATACGTATTCTTTACTTTTCCTTAGATGGCTAAATTTATTCCTTACTTAATAACAAATAAAATATCCTACTAACATGAAGGTATTCCATTCGTGGCAAATTCGGAATAATTCGGGATGTTCCATCAATTTCCTTACCTTTTAAGATAAAAACTGCATTCGTATGACCAGGAGTAAAAAATAAAAGATCATGGTCAGTAGGCGCTTTTAAACTATATTTTAGGTACGGTAAATGACGGAAGTGACAGGATCTATTCGAGGTCACGAATGGCGATATACCTTTTAACAAAACATGTATCTATTTATTTAGATCAGATTATGATTATTCGACGTGCCAATATCGTTTTTGGACATACTTGTACAACATGTATTCTGCTAGTCAAAATGTCAACAGTAGTTAAAACTATTAATAACTTTTTTTTCTGAAGGCTAGTTTTCATCAGCATGCTTCTTGTTATCAAAAATTACTTTGCAGTTTTGATAGGGTTTTTTTGTCAGACCTTCTTGTGTATATTTGTGTATAAGTGTGTATAATTATAATTATGTATTGCATAATACTACATTGAAATATTTTTGTCATTGAGGTGTTATATTTTATCATAAGTAAATATTTGTTATTAAAGTGTAAAATTGTAAATAGCATTTTAAATTATTGTCGAATGTTTAGATTGGTAAAGTCTTTCAAGTCCAAAAGTGACGTCATTCTTGATTGGTTCGTTGATTGAATATGACGTCATTGCTTTCAATATTGCGATATTGATGACGGAAATTGAAAGCACCGGAAGTACAATTAAGATGTGATATGGTATTCTATTGTGTATGTGTTGGATGAATGTTAGAATGGGAGGTCACTTGCTGGCACGTGACTTTTGTTATTTTCTTTTTATTTACACGCAATACATATGACGTCAGTTACATGTGACCATAGCTATTTGATACGATTTCCTGTAATATGTTGTTACTGTTAAATATCAAAATGTGTTGAAATTATCAAATTAGAACTACATTAATAAACTTCAATAAATGTATTATTAAATTGTTATGTTTTGAGAAATGAAACAACAGAAAATGTTCGATGACTTTTTTGTATACTTACAATGTTTAGCTGAAGCATTTTTTTTTTTTTGCATAATTTTTTTTCTCGAAACTTATAACAAAAAAATGTATTTTTAACATTTTCAAATAGACCAAGTGATAATATCTTTTTTCTTTGTTGGTGAATATATATAGCTGTGATAAAAATGTTTTATAAATCTATTTATTTTGTACTTTTGTTACACATTTGTTAATAAAAAATATTGTTGAAACATATTGCAAACGTCAGACAATCTGTATTGATAATAAAATATGCTCAAATATGTGCAGATATCTATTGTTTATCATCCTGACCTCCCGATCTGTGAAGAAAGCACTCGCTTATCAATCGGGACACTTCGGCCATTTCCGTCATACTTTGGAAAAGGACTTAAAATAGGCGCCAGGTCTTAAAACGAGTTATATTAAAGCAGTTACCAAAGTAAAAAATAACAACCTCAATATGTTTCGTTCTGGCATACTACGAGTACATACGTTGAATGCAAGATAGATATTACCTTTCTAGAACAAGAAGACGTGGTTATTCTGTGTCATGCTGGGTGTGTGTTTTCTCGAATGCCTCTGTCCGTTGTTATTTTTGTGACTGGAAGATGCTATCTTACCTTTACTGTCAGATTAAGAATTTTCGACCTTAATGTGAGGATTTTATGGGCATCCGTCAAATATCTGAACAACCAAGAGACATTCTGTGGTAGTTATTTTTCGTTCGAGTCTGCCATCCTTCGATTATGTAACTAGGAATGCTCCGTGTCATGCAGCCATTTTGAGTTGACGTTGATTAAAGGCCATTACTAGCAAAGGGAAAATATCGTAGATTCTGACCGAGTCATGAAAAATGTCTTTTTTCAAAATGACTACCATCTATTTTAATCAAACTAAGAACGCTACAGACGACCATTTTATCTAATAGTATTGCTTAATCACATTATAGTTTTTTTTTGTTTTTTGCTTTTTTTTTTGTTTTTTTTCTTCATTTTATTTATTACGTTATTTGGGGGGGGGTCAAGTAAAATCTAGGGTGTATTCGTACTCAAAGAATCGACCATTATGTAAAATGTATGATAATTATATACATGAAATATCAGCCGATATGTCTTTTGTTTCAATGAAACAATTGCGGGCTTTGTGTCAGACGTTATTTAGGTCAATGTCAAAATGCAATATAGTCTTTTCAAACTAAAGCTCCGTTTTAAATCAATACGATCTAGATTAGAGGTGATTTGTTCCTTTTATTTCTAAATTGCCTTATAGATCGTATACGTCACTCTACACTACATGTATATGACGGTAAATTCCCCGCCTCTAATCGCTTTGTATTGTAATACACTATAGCAGTGGGAAAATGTAATATCTTGGCAAGTTGACGATTTGGGAGTCAACAGGGTGCGTTCATTGTGCGTGTTTTATTCGTGTTCCATTCTCTACAAGTTTTATATTTTGAACTTATTTAAAACAAAGAGATTTGCACACTAATGTAACTAATATGATATCCGCGTAAATGTAATCGTAACAAAGTAGGAATTAACAAGCAGCTAGATCATACGTGTAAAAATGATTGGACATTCTTAAATTCGCGTATTATTTTATTATCGCTGATTTTTCTTTAAAGTGAAATGAACTAATAATCGCCTGGTAATCAGAAAGAACTTTATACATGTATGTTAAATAAGTCCATTAATTAATAGATCGTCAAATTTTCGCCATTTTCGCCATCTTCCGTAACATATATTTATTCAGACAACTTTGTAAAAACAAGTTACACGAAGTTATTTATATTGCTTATATTGATATAGAATATGTTTAATTACCCCTTTCCATTTTTGCCCCCCCCCCCCCCCTCCAACCCTTTGGCTGTACAGCTCTTTATCCTAACATGCAACTTTCAACACTTTATTAAAACTTAAGATACTTTGTAGTTAAATTTAGTGATATTGGCCCTCTCCGTCGCTCTTTCCATCCAATTGGAACTCCTTTGTTTGCCTCTACCCGTGTTGCCCCCTCCCCCTCCGTGTCCTCTAGTCCTTTCTTACGGATATCGTCAGGGATGCTATTCCATGAGAGTCGCTTTCTATGTTCCACTTAGGTTGCATACATAACAAAAATAAATGCGCAATCTTATTGTAAAGGACCGCTCCTATAATGAAAAACTAAGACTAAGAAAAACTAAATGGCTGAAATTGAAAAAAAAGTTTTACTTTACTTAAGTTTCCAAAGCTCATTCAGTTAAGCTAAAAGCCTGTGGTTGGTTTCGAATGTGATCTTTTCATGAGGGAGAAACACCAGTTTGCATTGTCTAATTCAAAGGTAATAACCACAATTCTGGCTTGATTTAAAGATATTAAAATCTATAACTCCCGAGTACCAGAAAAAATAAATATAGCGGTACTGAAATGAAGGGGCATTTGTACATCACGTTCATTCATACATTTCTGGTTATACATTACTTTATACAGCCCCATATAAAATCTTTAAGTATATGATTATAAATGAAATAGTGACATACATTGTATATTGATGAAGTAACATGCGTATTTTCAATTTCGTATTTTCACTTAAAAAAATACTTTTCACTGCAGTCTTACGTGTTTTCCGTATTTTCACTCTACTTTCTGCTAAATTCAGCGAACCTACATAATTAAAGCGGGAAGTCTTACAAATGCCATATCAAATAAGAGGAAAAAAACATGTATATAATAAACAGAAAAATCGATATTTTTTTTTATAAATATGGGATCTATTTTCATTTTGTGGTGTGATAATTATCATATTTCTTTCATTGTTACCGCCACTTATGAAGTTTTTTTTTCAAACCACTTGATAAAAATAAATCGTGTATTAATGGAACAAAAAAATTGTAAATAGCCTCTATATTTTGTCATTTAATCTAATATTATGAAATTTTTGGTTATATAAATAAGATAATACGTAATAAGATTGTTTTTTTATTGAAATTATTGTCTGGTGTTACAAAAAACAACATGACTTGAAATGTTAAGCTGTTATTTATCATATATAGACTTAAAGTCAAATAAATCCTCAGAAATCCACATTTTTTTTAAATTTTTTAAAATTGACAAACAGGTGTTAAATAATGTTTAATAATGGATTAAGAGCGTGTTAGATGTTAAATAACTAAAGAAAGTAGCCCTGCACGTGCAGTAATTTGTCGTAAAGGTAGCATAATGTAACAGTTAGTTCATATACATTGTATGTGGCAAATGATTTTTTTTAAAAACTGTAATAAGATATACCAAAAAATAAAAACGTTTCCAGCAAATAAAAATGATAGCATTTCGGAGGCATAATGTGCCTTTAACGTAGATATGGCATAAATTTACATTATTCATTTTTTTCTTGATATGTGTTTTATAAATCTGGTAATTTTTATAACTGCTCATTTGTTTCGGGAATAGATTCGTTCGAAACAGTAATTTCATCATAATAAACCGACCAGTGTTCTTTGATTTATACCAATCGTATTTTTTTTTCACAAGCATCTTCAAACTTTGTCACATTAATATCCAATGTTTTCAACTTTGACGCTCCTCAACCTTAGGATTTCTTAGGATGTTTTATGGTTTGGGTTTAGGTCGCACCCGCACTGTAAAGTTTATATGGCGAGTTTCCAGCTGGTGAAGGAAGACCTCAGGTGCCCCTCCATGCATTATTTCAGGTACGAACATGCACCTGAGTAGAACCATTGATGTTCAGTTAACTAGCTGGATAGCTATCTCACATGAAAGAATCCAAAGTCCCTGGCGGGATTCGAACCCACGGCGAGGAGGGACAAGTGGTTTGAAGTCAGCGAAGTTAACCACTCGGACATCATCATCATCATCAACAACAGCCTACTAACCATTATCATAATCACCATCATCATCGTCATCATCCTGATCATTATTTTAACGATAATCATTGTCATCTTTAATAAACACCATCACTTTAATTATCATTATGATGACTTTAATTATCGTGATCATAAATGTCATTTTCATAACCGCTTTCATCAATACGATCATCATACTGATCATTGTCAATATCACTAGCATCATCAATCATTATCGTCATCATCATTATCATCACAACAACCAGCATGGCAATCATCATCATAACAATCATCATTATCATCATCATCATCAACATTAAAATCATCATCATCACAACTTGCATCATGATTATCATCATCATCATCACAACCAGTACCATTATATACCTATCATCATCATCAGAAGCAGCATCACTTTCATCATCATCATCATCATCATCATCATCACCATAACCAGCATGGCAATCATCATCATAACAATCATCATTATCATCACCATCATCCTCATCAACATGAATGTCATCATCATCACGACAAGTTCCATTATATACTTATCATCATCATCATCATCATCATCACAATCACCACCATCATCACAGCCACCATCACAATCATCGTCATCATCATCATCATCATTATCATCATTATCACGACCAGCACCATCATCATCATCATCATCATCATCACAACCAGCATCACAATCATCATTATCATCATCATCATCATCACAACCATCATCTATCGTCAGAACCATCATCACAACCATCATCATCATTATATACAAATCAGCATCATCATCACCACCATCATCACAACCAGCATCATCATCATCGTCATCATCATCATCATCATTATCACGACCAGCACCATCATCATCATCATCACAACCAGCATCACAATCATCATTATCATCATCATCATCATCATCATTTTCATCCTTATTATCATCATTAACATCATCATCAAACTATGTAGATACATTACGAACAAACACTCACCAACTAATGAATTATGTGCAAGTTTGAATGGATGGATGGATAGATGGATGGATGGATGCACGGACAGACTGGTGGATAATCCGGTTGAATATTTAAGAGGTATGTGACGATGTAAATAAGTGTGTGGCTTTTAGTTACAGGTACATTATGCCTCAGATACAAAACATTTTTTTCCGTCTCAATGAAACGGCAAATATAAGTTTTATAACGTTTAAATAATGGTTTTAGAGAATGTAGCATACTTATCACCTTATAATGTGAAAGAAGTGTTTGCAATAAAAAGAAAATGTTAACAAATCAGAAATTCGACTTTCATACAAAATACAAAATCACTGTCTTAACCAATGGTCAAAAAGCAAAAGGAGCAAAAGTAATTTCAGATGATTGCCCAAATGAGTAACATTTTAATGCTTTGCACTAAAGAG